TTTCCCTGGCTCCATACATCTTCCCCCATGGCAGTCCAATTGGTCAGCTTCAAGAAGAGGTTGGGATAGTGCACTCAGTAATGCTTAGTTCATAGCATTTTACAGGGCAGTAAGAGATACAAATCCAAGTCCTTTGTGGGTTAGAGGGACATAGCTACACAGGTGGAATTAGAATCCAAACTGTGCCTAAATGCCAAACATTGCAGTTACACAGCTACTGAAGTGCTACTTAGGCACATAAAAGCAAAATACGATTTAGTTCTTAGAAATATATATTAATTTTTAAAATTTCCCCAGGGATTTTGGGAGAATCAATAGAAAAGTAAAAACAAAACAGGTTTTTTTTTTTTGAAGACTAGGTTTGATGTGAAAATATTGATTAAATATTTTCAGTTTTCAAAAAACAAACCCCCCAAACCCTGAAAATACTAGTTAAGCTCAAAATACATTTATTTAAATGGTCTGGTTTTATATTTTCAAAAAGACTTTTTTTTAAAAAGAAAGAAAAATCAGTTAAACTATTTTACCCAGCTTTATTGGTAAATTCACTGACCTTTCACCACTGGGATTTTTTGATCCCATTGTCTGAAACACTATTCATCTCTAACACAGGTGTTCCCTGTGGTGCTGGACAGCTAGCCAGCCTCTGACAAAGGGAGTGAAGATCAAAGGGAGTCCCTAATGCTGAATCATAATGTCAGAATTGTCCCCAGGGCATTGATAATAACTATTCTCCATAGTGGAGCAATAGGTTAAACACTGCATATCATGTTGACCAACACTGTCCCATTGTTTTCTTCTGCTCCTCCCCTGTCTTTTTGTTGTTCCTCCAGGTTCCTCCATCTGTTATCTCTTGTTTTAGGGCTTGACTACCCCACAAAGGTTTTGCTGGTATAGTACAGATTGGCTCTAGTGTCCAAGCTCTCTACTGGGGATACAGTTTGTATGAATCAAATAAGTTATTTTGCTCATATTGCTAAACTTCCTCTCTAGAAAGGCAACATCTACATAGGGGTGCAGGTTGCCAATATAAATGCAACTCAAGTCCTCCAGCCACACACAGGTCAAACTTACAACCTTGGCATTATCAGCATCATGCAGGAACCAGTTAAGGAGTCATGAGCGCTGCTGATAGTGGAGCTAGCCATGCCACAAGGAAGCAGCAACTCAAATTGCAGCAGCCTATCGGATTCTAATCCAGTCGCTATTCCACTCACCACATCGCTCATATGTTGTTTTGCAGTGTGACCACTTCCACCTGAGCTAAAATAACTCAAGAGATGTTAAGTTGAGTGTAGATCGTTCAAATGAACATTACAGTGACACAGGGTACTTAGAGCAAGAATGATCACTTTGTTCTGTGTTCCTGGAAGGCCTAACACAATGGTGTCCAGGTCCCTGACCAGGTCTTGCAGGCTGTACAATAATGGTAATGATAATCAGGCAAAACAGAAAAATCCCTGAAGATCTGAGAAAGAGAGCAGAGTGGAATCTGGCTCATGTAGAGCAGGGCTGTCCAACTCATGGCTCCAGGCTTCCCCCTCACCCCCTCCACTTCCTGCTCCCGCCCCTGGGGCAGCACAGGGCATGAGAGTGCAGCCCACAGCTGGGGGAGCTAGGGAAGGGGCCAGGGGCCTACACACATGGCTCTATGCAGGGGGAGTACTGTACCCACATGTGGTGTGATTTGGTACAGCACAGCAGGGGGGCATCCATGCAAGGCACCATGCAGCACAGAAGGGATGAGGGGGGCCATCCACAAGTGGCATGGTCCAGCAAAGCAAGGGGGCTGTTCATGTGAGGTGCCATACAACAAAGCAGGAGAAGGAGGGGAGTGTCCATGCATGGTGCAGTATGCAGTGAGTGGCCCTGGGAGCACCTGGCCCATGCAGGTGCAGCCCCCACAGGTTGCAGCCCCCGGCCACTTACAAGTTGGACAGCCTGGATATAGAGGCCAAATAAATTACCTAAATCCTATTGCAGATAGAAAGATAGTTAGCTGTGTTAGTCTGAAGTTAAGCAGAAGGCACTAACTAATTCAGAGAGGCGTGAACTTTTGTAGGCTATAGACTGCTTCATCAGATAAATAGTTAAGTACCCGACTGAACAGTTAAGTATGTTCCAAAATCTGGGGGCAAGGATGTTTACTGTGGTAAAATGTAGATCAGGATAAGCAACAGTGTGGTCAACTTGTTTTGATTAAAACAAATGCTTTTCATTCTTTATGGCCAGAATCAAACGTCCATTACATTTTCTATTCTGTTTTTTTTCAATAGAACAATCTACTGGATCCTCAGTGCTTGATAATATAAGGCAGCCTTCTCATCAATTCTGTGAACTG